GTTTGCCACATATAATCCCTCCGTCCTGGTTCAGGATCTAAGCCATGATGCAGCGGTGTATGGTAATTTATACTGATTGCTTCTTAGTTCGAGTAATTTAATTTATTTTAAGTAAGATTTTAAATTTGAATTTTATGAATAGAAAGGTAAATATTTAGAGAGTTTCTTTTCCTATGAAATTTGATCTAATTCAACTTCATATTAATTAAAATTTAATATAATATTCAAAATAACAACATAATTTTATATTTTATTTTATGGCCTAGTATAGTGATGCTACACTGTAATATATTGTAGTTTTTTTTTTTAAATCTTTTTATTATCAAAAAAATTATAAAATATTAATTAAAATTAATAAAAATATATACAAATTAATTAAGAATTATAAATTTATATATTCAGATAACATATTGTATGAAAAAGATACTCTAACAAATGAAGCTAATATATCATGAGATTCATTAAAGCTACAGGAAATTTTATCCTAAATTTATATTAAAGATTTTATTCACTTATTGTGATGGTTTGTATGTACCTTAGCTTACACCTATACATATGGTCCATACTATTTGATATGGGATTTTTTTTAATCTTAGGTAGCACAAAAAAAATCAATTATTTTCTATCTCTTAAATAATCTTATATATACATTATGTGATTCAAATTTAAAATTTATTATTTTTTATGGAAAGAAATTACTTTTAAGTTAATTAAGTTGTTAACATTTGATATTAGTTTTAAATCACATCTAAAGTAGCTTATGCATTGTCATTAATGATATGTAAGAAAATTTTGTATAATTTTTTTTATATAATTTTGTATTATATTATTAAATAAATATACAAAATAAATTTTAATTTAAAAAATTAACTATTAAATACTAATAAGCTAATCATCAGATGCCATTATAGGTCTTTATGAGATCATATCAAAAGAAAACAATCTGCAAGTAGAGATAAAGAGCAATAAGTAGAAACACAAAGTAGAAATTAGTAAGAAAGAAACACCATCGATTAAAAATTATGCATTGAAGAAATTACATAGACTGTAGTTAAAAAACAAAAAAAAAAGAGGAAGAAAAAAAAAAGAGCGGAAACTATGCTAGTGCTCGGTGTTCCCCTTCCATTCCCCATATCCATTGCAAGGAAAAAAGATGAGTTTCGGGCAACCAATCTTTTCCAGGAATTGCAAGTCTGGAAACAGATCGTTCAATTTCTTCCAATCCATTTTCAATTTAGTCAAGTACCTCAGGCGTAAAGTTTTAACAGTTTTGAAGTCCTTCAGACAACAGAGATGTCCTCCTCTGATGTAGAGTTTTTCTAGCTTTTCCAGTTGATCTGGATTTATCCAGGTGGGCAAACTAGAATTGGGATAACATCGGATGTCTAACTTCTTTAATCGTTTAGGAAGAATGTCATCTGGGGAAGGCGTTCCAGTTACTTGTTCAGAGCTTTTGGCCCTTTCTGGTTTGTTCTGACCAAATTTTCCTGGCAAAGGATCTGAGTGAGCTCTTCTTATCTCTGTATTGAATGGATAAGCACTCTTTTCTTTTGCACCAATCTCATGATGTCTGCTGACCAATCTCCCCAAAAATTTACCCCTATGGGACTTTCCTTCGGAGAACTTTGATGGGCTATCAACTTGGCCTTCTTTCTTTGATGAAGATGGTCTAGAAACTTCGATCCATGCTATTGTAAAGGAACGCAACTCTTTAAACTCTGATAAACCTTTCAGCTCTGTTGCCTCTTCTGCATCAGCTTCCATGCTGCAGTAGACGCTTAGTTTTCTCAAATTCTTCAAATTTGTCAAATCAACTATCTTGCACGCATCCTCTCTTTTTGGATCTCCAACCACAAACCCCTTAAGAACTCGGAGCTCTTTCAGGTGCCCTAGTTCTTTTGGCATGCTTTCTATCATATAACAGCCCGACATGTCTAAATGAGTAAGGCTTGTGAGCTTGCTTATCTCTGCAGGAATTTTTGTTAAATTGTGACATGCTTTGAGATCAAGTATCCTCAGATTACCAAGACTGGAAACAGAAGACGGAAGCTTGTGAATCCCGTAGACCATGTTTAAACCTAAGTACCTGAGGGATTTTAGATTGACAAAACTTTTCAAGAATTCAGTGCTAGCCACCTCAATATGATTGTCAGAATCAGAGGAGCCAGTCCCCTCAATATGATAGTCAGAGGAGCCTTTCCAACTACCTAGCTGAAGAACACGGAGACTTTTCGCCTTGGATAGCCAGAAACTCTGCAGATCTATGAGAGATTGATTGACATTGAATAAAGTCTCCAAATTTGTTGGATCTTGATTCCTTATTGCATACTGGGAAGACTTCGGGTTGGTACTCAGCAGGATTACCTTGCGAGTATCAGAATCAAAATTAATGTATTCTTCTCTCTTGGCTAGCGTCATAACAATTAAACGAATGAAGGGATTCATTCTGATGAATTTGTTCTCTAGTGTTCTCCCTTCCTTCATCACCGGTTCAATGAAGTCCATTTTTATAAGTTCCGCTATCTCCTCCTCTGCCGCCCTGGTGGTATCTACAAAACCCTCTGCCATCCACCAATACCTTAAGGCTGTCTTCCTTATAACGAAATCATTTGGAAACACCAAAATGTATGACAAACACCATTTCGTATTTTCATTGAGCCCGCCAAACTGTTCTGCAAAATACCTGAAGATTGAAGTTCCTTCGATATCTTTAGAAGATATAGCTGGTATCTTGTCAGCTTGTTTCTTCTGCCGACCAGCATCATCTATTTCTTTCTGTCCACCTTCTAATCGGCTTTCAGTTACTGCAGCCTCACCAGCTGGCTCATTCTGGGGAGTTAATTTGAGCTCCGCCTTTAATTTTGAAACAGCTGCACCCATTTCACGAACCAGCTTCTTAACGCTGATTGGGATAGACTGCTTATCAACACCCTGCAGCCTCTGGGATTCAGATTGTCCAGTAGCTTCTTCCAGCCCTTGGATATCAGGCAAGTTGGGACGCAGAAAAGCTCTGATCTGCTCGTTGAAAGCTCTGATCTGCTCGTTGACCAAATTTTCGAACTTGTTGAGTTGGCCGATGGAACTTCTAACATCTTCGAAGTCTCCCCTGACTGTCTGAAAATTTTCATGAACATCATCAAGTTCCTCATCATCTGTATCTAGGAAGTTCTTCCACTTTTCCAGGTGAGCAGCCAACCAATTCACGACCTCATCGCTGATCTTATTGATGGACCAGATCTGGTCGGTGTCTGCAAAGTGTTTAAGATTACTGAAGTTAGGGACTTTATTCTCCCCCCTTTGTGAAGATGATGAACTGGAACCAGACATTTTTGAAAGAGATGCGAAGCAACAAGAGAAGGAGAAAAACTCCAAAAAGCTTTGTGCAGGGAAAGTCGGGCCGCTCTCTACTAAATCAAAAGGCACCTTCTTGAGTCTTGACCCGGATCCGGCTTTGATTTCCAGCCAGACATAAAATTTTGGAAAAAACACTCTTTGAAGCCCCTAGACGTTTCTCATTTTAACATATAAGCCCTCTAAAAAAAACATGCATATAAGTCCTTACGCTGATTGATCAATGCGTGTAATTACCACCTCCATTAGTCTTCGTTAGTTTCTTTGGGGCCGCTTGCATTTCCCGTTATTTTTGGCAAGCAAAAAATTGTTTAATTTCACCATAGTCCATAAACTTGTCAAATTCTAAATAAACTTAGTCCCTTAACTTTTTAAAGTTTATCACCAACGCATCATCAATCAAAATATATAAATAGAAAAAGTTGGTTTTCATTGTCTCAAATTATCAAAAGCTTCAGCAGACTTTTTATTCCTTCTTCAAACGGGGTATATAAATCAACAAATCAGGGAAAGATCCGTTAAAGAACGACATCCATATGTACAAACACCAATATATTTCACACCTTCATTTTCATTCTTTGAGTTTTTCCCATTAGAACACTCCCTTAACCCTTTAATCGCTTTAGTATCCTTCAATTTTGCTAACACATTTAGTTACGGGATGTCCAATTTGAGTGGGTTTGGGGAGATCGAACATATTCCGATCCGGAGATGGATTTATATCTCGCCAACAGTGAGAAGAATTATGGTATAAATCGGACAAAATATTCGCCAAACGCAAATTCATGTTTATGAAGGGGAATTAATCACTTGAGTAGTGATGCATGAGGAGGGTAGATACGGCACAAACAGCGTGATATAAAATATGTTATTTAATCAATTAATGTATATGTATTATTATAAATATAATAAAATACAAACTATTAATTATATAATGTCGTGCTTTATATCTCGCGTGTTGGTTTTCAATTTTAGTTCTAAATTTCGGTCGTTTATCATTATTCTAATGAAGTAAAAAAGTAAAGTGCATGTCAAAAAGGTAAAAGAATTTTTTCCTCCCTTAATTTTTAATAAATTTAGTTTAATTTTTAGATTTTTCAAATATATTATATAAATAATAATTACAAAATTTTTATTAAATAAAAATATTTGATAAAAATTTTATATAATTTTTTTAATTATTATTTATATAAGTTATTAAATTTTTATTTAAAATTTATATTAAAAATTAAATTGAGTATGCTAAAAATGAAGGTAAAGAGTCATAAATATGAAAAAGCATTGAAAAGTCATAAAGGATGGGCAAAGGTCCATTTCATATTAAAGTTAGTGGTTAGTGGTTATAGCCAAAAAAAAAAAAAAGGACAGGAAATTAATTAGGAAAGAGAAGTGGATGTAATTAATAAATAGGCAATAAATATGATAGATCATTGAAAGAGAAATTTTGTAAAGTTTGTCTAATTTATATAT